GGAGGGGGCGCGCCGGGGGCGGGCAGGGGCGCCCGCGGAGGGCCGGGGCGCACGGGGGGTGTCGGCGGGGGCGCCCGTGGAGGGCGGGGGCGCACCGGGTGACACCCGGGCGCACCCGAAGAACGAGCCGGCCGGGACGCCGGGGTCCAGCCCGAGTCCTAAGGGAGTCACACTCTGCTTTAAAGAGGGGGCGGAGGGAGCGGAGACGAGGGGGCCGAGAGCGCCCTGCATGCATGCTGAAGTCATTATGTAAAATCGCAGGCTTCCCCCGCTGTGGAAATTTGGAAAAGCGCTTCCATTGGCAGGCCCGAGAAAGGAAATTCCCATCCCGCTAAATTACTAACAGATTGCACGGCAGTCCCGGGACGTGGACGTATTGTCATTTTACTCTGTAAATATCTGAGCGACCCAGATTGCCTGCCGCGTGAGCTAGCTGGGGGCGGGGGGGGGGGGGCCGGGGGACCCCGGGACCGCCCCCCCCCCCCCCCCCCCGCTCCCCCCCCCCCCCCCGGCCGGGGGGGGGGCGCGAGTGCCACGGGCACCGGCGGCGGGGGGGGGGCGGGGCCCCCCGGAGAACCCGGGCACAGCCCCCACGCCCGCCCCCGGGCTCCCAGCCGCCCCGGGAGGGACTTTGGGGTTCCAGCCGAGGGGGAGGGGTCTGAGCCCGGGAGCTGGTTTCGGGAAGGCCCCTCGAACGCCGCCGGTTCACTTTACACTTTCTTCTCACCCCCCCCCCCCCCCCCGCCTCTCCTCGGCGCGGCTCAGCTGCCAAAACCGGACCGTATTTTCGTGTTGGCCTTGGATGGAAGGGGTTGGGGCGTCAGGGCGGTTAAAACGTCTGGTGTATAAAAATCATAAATCTGCTGCACGACACCCTTATGTGGTTTCAAATAACCCCAAAAGCAAAGTTGTGTCTGCCGCGCGGACTCAGGAGGCCTGCAGGCAGCGGACGCCCCACAAGCCTCCAGGGCCTGGACCCGGGGCGGCGGGGGGGGGGGGGGGGGGCGGTGCAACATTTGCCCCAACCGGTGAGTTTCGCTGGCTAGTCGGTGCCCGACGGAAGCCGTCACCACCGCCGTCTGTTGGGTTATCCAGCCCGTTGGGGACAGAACTGAAATCCCTCTTTCCACCCACTCTTCGGTCAGGCGGCCGCGCGCCCGCGGGTGTCTGCGTGGCTGTCAGGACACTTCCCAGGTGCCCCTACCTGGAGATCTGCCCCCACGCGGTGAACTGGGCCTGGCACGTGCCTTGGTGCCCCAGGGCCGGGGAGAAGGTGACGCGGGGGAGGGGGAGAGGATACTATGGCTTAGGGCCGGTGTGGGGGGGGAACCCCTCGAGGATGCTGAAGCTGGGGGCACCCCATCAAGATGCCCCGAGGCTGGGGGGACCCCGCGAAGACTCTGAGGCTGGGAGGGGGAGGGGCGCGCAGCCTGCGTGGGAGGCCGCCAGGGGGCGCCAGGGCCTCGCAGCCCTTGCCCCTCCCTCGCCCCGCCCCTTACAAAGATCCTGCGGCCCGGGGGTCCTAGTGGCCCACATCTGGGGCCACGGGGAGGGTTGAGGGCAGAGTCCGGGCACCGGGGCAAGAAGGTCTCACAAGTTGCATGAAAGTAAAAGTTGACCCCCATCGCTTCCTGTCCGCCCCTCCCACACAGGCTCCTCCCCTTCCTCACATCTTCTTCTGCCTCCACCTCTCCTCCTTCTCTTCCCCACCCTCCTCTTCCTCCTTCTTGTCTCCCTCCAACCCCTAGCCTCCTCTCCATCCTCCCCTTCCCCTTTCCCCTCCCCATCTCCTCTCCCTCCTCCCCTCCCTCCTCCCCACCTCTTCCTCTTCCCCCACTTCCTTCTCCATCTCCGCTTCCTCTTCCTCCTAGTCTCCTCCCTCCTCTTCCTCCTCCCCCCACCTCGTCTCCCCCTCCCCCTCCCCCTCCCCCTCCTCCCCTTCAGTAAATAATTTTCACTCCATCCAGAAAAGCTCTCTTCCTGTCTGCTCTCAATGCCTCCTTCTTCCCCGCCCGGTGACGGGATCCCCGTCTGTTTCCCTCTGTTTAATGCCGTTGCCGGGACCACGGTGGCCGCGCGCCAGGGCGCAGGGAGTTCCGGAGGCGGCGGCGGCTCCTCGGCCAGCGCGCCCCCGGTCCGCCCGGGGCGGCTCCTGCGGCCACCCCGGGGCCACCGCGGTCGGTCCCCGGCCGCGGCCCCTGCGCTCCCTTCCGCCCGTCGGCGCGGCCTGCGCGCGGGTGTGTTTATCGCCGCTACCAGGAGAGACGCTACACGGGTTTTATTTTAAGGATCGGTGACTAACGAAGTTAAAAGGAGCTGAGGACAGAAAACAAGACTATTTTTAGGTTACTGTTGTTTCTGTGGATTATTGGGGCGATGCACCCAGGGAAGCTGACCGTTTGCAAAGTCCCTTTGGGCGCCAGATCCCTCCTCCTGGAGCGCACCTGAGTGTCGCGCCGGGAGCCCGGGCCATGCCTGTCGCCTGGCTTTGAGTTTGTGCGCGAGTGCTGCCGAGATGTGATGTGTGCGGGCCGGGCCGGGCCGGGCCGGGAGGGCCTGCTTGCGCTGCTCTGCAGCGGAGGCTCGGCGCCCTGCCCTGGGGGACCCGCTGGGGCCTGCGGGGTCCGATCCTCCCGGCCACCTCGGTCCGCACCGGCCAAGCACGGCCGCTCCTGGGCCGGGGGGTTCCGCCGGCCGCCCCTCTTCCTGTTACCCAGCTGGGCAACCAGTCACTTCTTGCTCCTGGACGTCACCTGGGACATCCGCGAGTTAGGGGAGAGCGCGGTTCCTGCTGGACCTGTGTTCCGGACCACAGCCGAGGCCACTCTGAAACCTCTTCCGTTTAGGGGCCCTGAGCCTCTGACCCCTGTCGGCCGCGGGTGGGGGTTCTCCTTCCTCACGGCACCTCTCGCCGGCGGGAAGGGGGCACCCAGGCGGGTCAGAGCTGCCAGGACGCGAGCTTGGGGTGAACTTGACATCCGGCAGAGTGTGGAGATGGGGCTTACTAAGAAATCACAACTACGGAGGGTCATTGGCTTTCAGGTGAACTGCTGATGTTTTTAAAAACAGCCAGGGCGGATAAGTCTCACAACTGTTCCTGGAGTTGGGGAAGACGGGGTGCCCTCTGACGGCACCCGTGTCAGAGCATTCGGACTCCCCCCCCCCCCAGGTGCAGGTGTTCCGAGAGCTCCGTGAATGTGGGCTTCTGAGATTCTCCGCTGCACTTGACTCACAAAGTCTCTCTCTAACCCACCCCCTTCCCCTGGGGCCCTGCAGAGGCCCTTTTATTGTCTCTCTGCCCAGACGCAGCCCGACCACCCAGTCCAGGCACTGCCAGGTCTAAAACCTCAGTCGTCACAGACTCACTCACCTTCCCTCCCCGGGGCACTTGCCCAGGGCACCAAGGTCAAGGCCAAAGTGGTCAGCCTGGCACCTGATGTTCTCCCAGCTCCACACCTGGGGCAGCCCTGGGGGACCTCCTCACCAGGAAACCAGCCTCAGTCCCAGGGCCTGGAGGACCGTCTCCCCACCTGTATTTGGCCAGGCACCAGAACCTTCCTCCAAGCCGCCTGCCGCCCCTGCCCAGGGTCCTCACCTCCCCCTGATAAGTCTCGGCCCGCCTCCACGGCCCCCTCTCACTTCCTGGCGTGACGGCCTCACGTGGTGGCCCGTTTGTTTCGCAGCCTGGAGAACCTTCCACGCCACCTGAGAAGTACGACCCCCCTGCTGTCGCGGTGGACTGTCTGTCCACGCCTGGCGGGTCCGGCTGCTTGATGATGCAGTGAAGTTCTTCTGTTTCCTTGCTGGCCTTCGCTCGGCTTGCTTGAGCGCCGTGGACGGTGGGGCGACGCCGTCCGCGGCTACTGTGGGACAACTGTCTGTCTCTCCTTCTTTCCACGGGTTTCTTCGCTGTGTGTGGGAGCTCTGCGGCTGCGTCCTCCTGACGGGTCGGGTATCGAGCGTCCCTCTGTGTCGTTAATCGCACCCTCGTGTTACGGTCAGTTCTGTCTGACGTTCGCACGAGCCTCTCACCTCTGCCGGCCTGTACCAGACGCTGTGTTGTACTGCGTTCGTCCATTTGTGCCTTTGACCCCTAAGGGCTCTCCGTCTCCAGCTGGAAGGCGGATGGTGGGGTTTCTGTTTGTTTCACTCGACAATCTCTGCCCTTTGACTGGATCGTCTGGTCGAGCCACATTAGTGTTCTTATCGATGCGGTCGGCTCTACGTCTACGGTGCCGTTTCCTGCTTTTCTCGTGCCCCCCTTCTTCTCTTCCCTTCTGTCCCTTTTTCAAAATGCCGGCCGACTCTTCCCTAATGCGGCATCTCAGTCACAATCCGCTTCACGAGATGCTCGCTTGCTTCTGGCGCTGGTGTGAACCTCAGTCCCAGGTACGCTCACTCCCTTTTCCCGAGTTTACGAGATCATGTGACACCCGGTCCTGGCAACACTCCGATAATTATCGCTCTCCCGTCTCCTTAGGCCACACGGCTCTGCCCTACCTGCTCCCTCTGGTTGTTATCGCACATGTATTACACGTCTATCGCATTTGAATCAATCATAGGCCCAATGTCATGTCACAGACACACTGGTTTATACAACTGCTTTCTGAATTGGTTACAGAAGGAGGGAGAAATGTTGTACATTTGTCTTTACCGGCGATCTGGCTTTTCGGGCGGACTCAGCCTCTGTCTGGGGCGCTTGACTTCAGCCTGAAGCGCGTCCTGCTCTATTTTGCGAGCTGGGTGGGTCCTGCGGGCGGCGAATTCCGTCTCGTTGTTGCTGTGCTGTTTTAACCTGGGAAACTCTTCATCCCCTTCATCTTCGGAAGATGGTTTTGCTGACGATCGTGCTGTTGCCTGACAGGCGTTTTGCACACGCGGCCCACGGCCTCCGGGCCTGCGCAGGCCCTGCCGAGAAGTCACCGTCAGTCCCTCGTAAGGGGCGCGTTTTTCCCTCGCAACTTTCAGGATTTTCTCCTTGTCTTTGGCTTTCGGCGTTCTCCTTTTCGGCCACGTGTGGGTTTGAGTCCGCACTTATCCCCATCCAGCTTCCCGGGCACCTACGTCACTATGCGGTGGTAGGTTGGTGACATCGGCCCACACTTCTCTCTTTCCTTCTGCCCTCTGTCTCCCGCTGCGCACTTGGTGCCGTGAACCCCTTCCTCTACGCCCCCTGCGTTTTCTTCCCTGCGTTCCGCCTCCTCGGCTGCAATCTCCACTGGTCTGTCTTCAAGCCAAGGAATTCTTTCTTCTGCCCGTCCCGGTCTTCTGTCATCCACTCTCGTGTACCTTTCCCTTTAGTGCCGGTGCCTTTCAACTCCAGCACCTCCATTTGGCTCTTTGCTATGGGTTCTCCCTCTTCCTCCACAGTCTCCTTCACGTGACGTCCCTTCGCCTCTCGAGTGCAGCTGCCTTGAGTTCCGCGGTACTTGGGGTTCTGCGGTGGGTACTCTGCAGTACTTTTCCGTGAAGTCTGGCACCTGCCGGCTCCCCCAGGCGGCCTCTCTGCCCGCCTGCTTTCCGACGCGTGTGGGTGCCTTCCTGCATCTCGAGCGCCTCATAATTGTTTACTGGAAACTGGACATTTTAGATAATGTATCGTAGCAACATGGGGTTCTGCCCCCCCATCGGGGGCCCGTTCCTGTCCTTCGCTTGCTTATCTGTCCAGTGACTGGATCGTCTAGTGACGTCTCCTGCCCTCCCGGGGTGTCCAGCTCCTGACGCTGCTCCCAGGGGCCAGAGTGGGGGTGTGTGCGCCCTGCTTCTCCTGCAGGGAAAGCCCTCCGGCGGGGGGCGGGCGCAGGGGCCCCGTGTGCCGGGCTGCAGCCTCCGGAGCGCGTCTCTGTCCTCACGAAGCCGAGGGCGGGGGCGGTCCTGGTTCAGAGCCCGATGCCTCGCGCCTTTCCTAATGAATTTTCCCAGATTTTCTCGGGGAGACGTTTCATGTGCTGCTTGCCTTCAGGACCGCGTCCACAGGCTTCAAGTGGTGGTTCTGTGTGAAAGCGTGTCCTCTGGTTCCACCTGGAGAGGCTCGGCGGCTGCCTGCAGCTCTCCTGGTGGCATCCCTGCATCGGCCCGGTCTGTGTCCCCGCTGCCCCCCGGGGGCGCGGCCGTGAGGGTCTTCGCCTCCATGAGGCTGTGAGACGGTGCCGCTCGCGTCACTGATGCCTCCCACTGGTCACTCAACACGTTGGACCCTTTATTCCGGGGCGGTACGGTCACGGGTTGAACCACGTCCCCCGAGAAGATGGGTCAGAGCCCTAGCTCCTGGTCTGTGCCCACGGGGTCTTATTCAGAAAGAGGGTCTTTGCAGACGCGATTGGCTCCGAGGAGGCCAGCAGGTGTGCCCTAACCCAGTGCGTCCGGGGTCCTTGTCAGAAGGGGTCACGTGGTGGCGTCACCATGCGGTGACGGAGGGCAGGGAACGGAGTGCCAGGTGCCGCCAGCACGTGGGGCTGGGCAGAGATGGGGAGGGCCCCCACGGGTTGGCGAGGGCCACAGCCCAGTGGTGCTCCGACTCGGAACTTCCGGAGGGTTGGCAGCTGTGTCAGCAGAGGTGACCGTCCGGCATCCCCAGGGGTGGACACGGACACCGCGCGGTTTCGTCTCCTTCCGGGATGTCCCCCACGTCCTGTCCTGCGGCCCCCTTCCCCTGGATGCCACCCAGCTCTCCCTAGAGGACGTGTCGCGGGAGCGTGGCCGCCAGCCACGGCCACCAGCACTCCCCTGTCACGCAGCCTCTGCCTCGGGGCCTGGCCCACGGTCTCTGAGGGGTCATGGGACCCCCCCCCCCAACTCCCCGCAGGCTTCCTGCACCTGCCGGAAGGAGGCGTCTCTTCCTCTGGGGTTTGTGGGGCCAGCCCGTGGCTCCTCCTGGAGAAACTCCGCCACCCGAGGCCGACGTGGAGGGAAGCAGATCTGGAGGCGGGTTTGCGAGCGGTTCAAGCGTCTGGATCCGGCCGGGCCCGCAGGCCTGTGAGCGTGTCGCCGGGCTGAGGACACGACTCCCCTCCTGCTCAGGCCGGTCTGACTGGTGCTGCCACGGCTACGGGAGCCACGCGGCGTACAAGACACAGCAAGTGTACGTGGCCAGACACGATCTTCTCCTCCTGCGTGCGGACGGGGACGGCCCAGCTTCGGAGGCAGATGAGAACCAAGCGATGCCCCGAAGAGGCAGGAAGAAGGAGGCGCTGGGCCGTGTGGTCTGCCGGAGCCCACGGAGGACGCTGCCTCGCTCTGCACCTGGAATACTCTTGGGAAACACAAACTGGGCCGCGCCGGCGGTCCACGGCGTGTGCCCGTCGGGCGGCGCAGGTTGTTGAAATACCGCGGGGGCTCCTGTGCCGGCCCAGACGAGCGGCCCCCGGGCCCCCCGCGCCCGTGCTCCCCGCCCGGCCAGCCCTGGGCGGCCACAGGCTCCCGGAGACGTCACGCTCCCATTAACTGACCTTAGTTTCTA